GTGTGGGTGGCCAGCTCAGCCCACAAGGGGGCGGTGCTGGCTGGCATGTGGTGCTGGGGATTGAACCGCGGTCCCTGTGCTTTGCTTAGCTTAGCTTGTTCTAAGTTGGTGCTTTAGACCACTGAGCCATCTCACCAGCCCCAAATACATTTTTAAAAAGGAAAAATTAAGAGGCTGAGGAGATCCCTCAGCAGTCAAAGTGCCTGCCTGGCAAGCACAAAGACCCAAGTTCAATTTCTGGCACCACATATTGTGCTAGCCACTGAAACTGTACTTGGTAGTGTATACCTGTAATACTAGCACTGGGGAGACTGAGACAGGAAGATCACTACAAGTCTGAGCTACTAAGGAGACCCTGTACCAAAATAAATAAATAATAAAAATTAAGCTAAGCCTGATGACACATGCCTATAATCCCAGCACCCTTGCTTTGAGTTCAAGGTCAGCCTGGGCTACATACTGAGTTTCAAAGCCACCCCAGAATTATATGCCCTGTCTCAAATAATGATGATAGGGCTGGAAAAATACGTCAGTGGGTTAAAGCGCCTACTTAGGCAGAGCAGTGCCAGAGTAAAACCCATGCTGGCCCCACCCCTGGGACACACTGAGATGGTGACTGAGACTGGGCATGGTGGCGTGAGTCTGTTACAGGAGGATCACTACAAGTCCAATCTACATAATGAGACCCTATAGACCTTGTACACTCTGTACTAAAATATGAAAAAATGATGATGATGATGATGATGATGATGATGATGATGATGATGATGATGAAAGGACTAGAATCGCCATACATCCAGTGTTTTCACTTCTGGGTAGTAATTCCCAAAGAACTAAAAGTAGGATCTGAGAGATATCTATATATTTATATTCATAGCAGCAATATTTTATAATAGCTAAGAGATAAAAGCAACCCAAACCCAAATATCCATTAACGTGAATGGATAAACAAAAGGTAGTCTGTCCATACAATAGAATATTTAATATTTACTCACTATTAAAAGACAAATTCTGTTACATACTACAACACAGTTGAATCTTTAGGACTTTACACTAAATAAAATAAATCATAAAAAGACAAATACTGTATGATTCTACCTATATAAAATTATTCAGAGCGAGGCATTGTGGCACATGCCTATAATCCCAGCACTGGGAAGGCTGAGACAAGAGGATCACTGCAAGTCTGAGCTACCTAGTGAGACCTTATACCAATAAATTAAAAAATTAAAAAAAACAGAAAAAAAAAATAAAAAAGAGGAAAAGAGAACTAGTCACTTCCAGGGCCACTGAGTACAGAAAACAGCATCGCTTTTTCAGGTGGTCGTGCTGCAGGAAATAAGCTACATGGCTGATGGCAGATCTCCAGGAATGCAATCCCACTGGGCCATAAAAGGGAAGGAAATTACACAAGATCTGCCTGCAGCACTGAGCCATCTGACTGCAGCCAGAGCCCCTCTCCTCCCACCTCTGCCCAAAGTGTGGCCTGGCTCTGCTGGCCCTGAAGAGCCTTGCCTGGTGCTTCCTTAGAAGCTCCCTGGGCCTAGGAACGGCCCTTACAGCTCTGGGACTCAGGCTCGGTCCTGCCTGCCCGGCTCCAACCCCAAGCCTGCTACACAGAGCTCTCCTGGGGACTCTCCCTAGATACAATCCCACCCTCTCCCCCCAGAGTGGATGCGGCCCCTTAAACAGCTCCTGGTCGAAACCATGCTCTGTGGCATGGCATGGCATGGCATGGCATGATAGGTCGACTCCTGAGTTCATGTTGCTTATCGCTTTCTCCCTCGGGTCCTAGGGACCAAACCCAGGACCTGCGCAGTCAATTATAGCCCTGTCCCTTCCTTAATATGAGTCAGGGTCTGGCTAAGTTGATAAATAGCCCAACTTAAGCTCAGCCTTGAGATCCCACACTGCTGGGACTATAGGTGTGAGCCACCATGCACAAGCGGCTCAAAGACAGGGACTGTCTCATCTGTCTTGGAGTCACTAGGGCTGCTCAGCACATGGTAGGTGTTAAAAATACAAGCCATCGCTGCCTCTGGGTCCAGCTACTCACGAAACGGAGGCAGGAAGATCACTGGAGCCACTAGGTTTGAGACCAGCCTGGTCAACAAAGTAACCTTGTTTTAACTGCAAATGTTGGGCCAGCCAAATAGCTCAGAGGATTAAAGCACCTGCAAGCAGGCACAAGGATGGGGGTTTCGCAACCTGTCGTGCCAGCTCCCACCCCTGGGGCATGCTGAGATGGCAATTGAGACTAGGCACAGTGGCGCCACCATGCCCGTAATCCCAGCTCTTGGGAGGCTGGAAACCGGGATCACTACGAGTCCGACAGAGTAGTGAGACCCTGAACACTGCCCAGCTGCAGTTCTGCCACCTCCTGTGTCTCAGATACAAGTGGCCTCACTGGTAGTGAGTTCTCCACACTTCAGGCAGAATTTCTGCAGACTGACACACAGAGAATCCCTCTATGCAGAGGGGATGTGGGGGTGGCCTGCTCCCTCCCTGGGCCAGGTCCTGAGGTACTGGGTTACCAGTGGGGCTACCTGCCTGTTCTGATTCGTTTCCCATAGCCTGGCAGCTGGGGGACAAAGGGTCCTTTGGACAGCAGGCGGGCAGCACTGAGGTGTTGCCTGTGTGCCCTGTCTAGGCACGGGGGTTGCCTACAGTCTAGGGAATGGCTTGGGAGTGAGGGACTTTGGGAAAGACTCTCCAGGCCCTGCTGGGCCACAAGGCAGCTCACGCCAGCTGGCAGCTCTGAAAACTCTTGTGGCCCTGAACGTACAGAGGCAGCGGTGGTTAAGGAAGCAGGTTGGGAAAGGTGTGCCCTAGTTCCTCAACCAGGGCCGCATTAAGAAGCTGGAAGGCCTAACTCCATGATGGCACATGAAAAACATGACATATATGCATATTGTTTTCTAGAAAAAGGACAGTCACACACTGAAGCCTGGCCTGTCATCCCAGGACTCGGGAAGCTGAGGATCTCCTTGAGTTCATGGCCAGCTGGAGCCACACAGTGAGATACTGTCTCAAAAGCCAAAACCAAAAGCAAACAAAAGGGGTCAAAGGGCAAGACTCCCAGACATCATGGGCTGAAGGTCTGGGCACCCTAGGGTGCAGCCCCCTAGTTCCATTCCCGGAAGCTGGGTACAGCTGGCCTCCGCTCTGTAGCCCTCATTCGCTGCAAGAATCAGGTGGAGGGCTGGAGAGATGGCTCAGTGGTCTAAAGCACCTACTTAGAACAAGCTTAGCAAAGCACAGGGACCACGGTTCAATCCCCC